AATAATAATTAATATTATTAGTAAGTTATATATTAATAATTAATTATTTTATATAAGTAAAGGAGTAAATGATAATTTGTGAAGTGGTGAAGAGAGAATGAGTAGAGCCGTTTTTATTCACAGATTTCATACTAATTTGTGTATATAGTTTTATTTGCCAAATTTGCATTAGGCTACGAGAAGAGTCCAGGTTCTGCGTGGCAATTAAGAGAGAGAACACGGTACCTCTAATAATTAAATAACAATTGGCCAAGGGACCTTTCTGGTTTATCGATTCATACCGGTTCAACTGATCAGCACGAAACGGTTTTAATAACTAGGATTCTAACCGACACTTCCCAAATATTAAAAAAGTAATTAGAGAGAGGATATGGTCAAATGGAAAGAGGTATTACTTCCATTCAAATTTAGACACGATAACCCATAATCATAATACATACCATTCAATTCAACTATAACCCCATAATCATAGAAATAATGCATACCATTCAACTCAATAAGTATAATGACTCCACTCCATAACAACAAAATTCTACCTAATCACTAAGAATCCGCATGAGGTGGAAATATTAACATTGGAAAAAACCTCTAATTACTTATTTCTCTTGTTTTTTTCTTCTTATAATTCAATTAATCATTCTACCTTGTTCTTCTCTCCACATCAATTGCTGCTATGTGTCAACCTATGTTCCTGCCTTCTATTCTTGCATTACTCTTATCTTCATGCCTTAATGGCTTATATGCCCACAATTCTTCCCTAGCCATACATTTAAATTCTACCATAATTGCTGGATCAAACTCTACTTGGAAATCTCCTTCAGCTGATTTTGAGTTTGGATTCTATCCACCTTCCTCTTGTTGGAATATGGTTTGGAAAAATCAGAGAGAGAACACTTGTATGGTACCAAAGTCCTCCTGTGGAAACAAATTCCTTAATCCAACTCACTTCAGAAGGACACCTTGTGGTAACATATTCAAATGGAAGTGTTGCTCATAACATAGACAATGGAGACAGTGCAACTTCTGCTTACATGCAAGATAATGCCAACTTTGTTATGAAAGACTCAAACTTGAGAGTTGTGTGGGAGAGTTTTAGTTCTCCAAGTAACACTATCTTACTAGGCCAAACCTTGAAAGCTGGTCAAATCCTCTATTCTAAGGGGAAAGAATCTTCAAACTATTCAATAGGGAATTTTTTATTGGGACTGCAAAATGATGGGAATTTGGTGCTCAGAGCCTATCAAATATCAATGGTCATCTCCTGGTAACTTTTACCCGACCTTTACACTTACGGTGCATAAATATTACACTCATCTTAAAATGTTCTAGATGGATCATGATCTTGTCTCGTAGAAAGTCATGTTCAAAACAAACATCTATCACTTAGGTTTGTGTTAAACCTTATTTATATGCATCTAGATATAAATGAAAATTAGTTTTGATGTAAGATTGAGATTAATTGTTATTTTCCCAAAATAGGAGATGATCTTACCCTTTATATATCATTATGTGTTGTTATGTTAGCATTTCATATGTCATGTCATTTGCCTAAGAATAGGGCCAACCCTTTATATCTTTGATATAAATTCATGTTAGCGTTTGTTTCTGTGTTATTAATCAAAGGTACGTTTCAACAATAACATCTCAAGATGTGAGTTTGGTGTATAATGTTACTAGTGCTTTATTGTATCTTGTTAGTGACGGTAGCAACGTTTACCATCTAACTAAGAGCACCCCAACCCCAGTAGAGGACTACTATCACAGGGCAACAATAGATGAAAATGGGAATTTTCAGCAATTTACATATCATAAGAGAAATGGCAGCAAGTGGAGCAGGGTTTGGAGAGCCATAGATGATCCCTGCAGAGTGGAAGCTGTTTGTGGTGTGTTTGGCTTGTGCACTTCTCCAGACAAGTCAACTGTGACTGCATTCCATGTAAGAGAAGCAATCACTAGTTAGGTCCTTAAAAGATGTAAAACTGTTAACTTTTAATTGGGGACCTTAGCTCTTTCTTATAAGGACCACCCAGGTGAAGTTTTAAATCTTTGAAGGATACAATTGGTGATCTTTGGAGGACTAAATTGAAGGTTTACTCTTCCAGGTTATATCCCATTCGATCAAGAAGACGTGTCTAAAGGGTGTCATCCAGAAACGGTAATTAACTATTGTGCAGGACCTTCTATGATGAACTTCAAGCTTCAGGTGATTGATGACACTGATCTCCAATTTTATCCAGACTTTGCTAGGATAAATGATGTTTATTTGGAGGGTTGTAAGAAAACTGTAATGGATGATTGTAATATCATTGCTGCCACTTTTAATGCTTCAACTTCAACATGCGCCAAGAAGAGAATACCATTGCTGAATGCAAGGAAAAGTTCATCTTCAAAGGGACAAAAGGCACTCGTTAAAGTTCCTAACAGTCTTGAATCTAGAACATTACAAGATTCTAAGAAAAAGCATTTTAATGTGAGACTTTTCTTGAAGGTTATGATTGCAGTTAGTGCCACTCTTGCCTGCCTCTGTGGAGCTCTTGCTGTATACTATCATCCTCTTGGTCAAAGACTAATGTAAAGAAAAAGGTCCCTGAATGTAAGTGGAATTGGAATCAACTTCAGGCAATTCACTTTCCAAGAGCTGCATGAAGCAACAAATGGATTCAGTAAAATTCTTGGTAAGGGATCTTCACGCAAAGTATACCACGGAACTTTAACAATAGATAACGCAGAACTTGGTATTGCAGTAAAGAAGCTGGAAAAGAAAATTGAGAAAAGCGAAAAAGAATTCATGACTGAGCTCAAAATTATCGGCCGTACGCATCACAAAAATCTGGTGAGACTTTTAGGCTTTTGTAATGAGAATAACCATAGACTTCTTGTCTATGAGTTCATGCCAAATGGAGCATTGTCAAGTTTATTGTTTGCACAAGGAGAAAGACCTTCATGGAGTCAAAGAGTTGATATGGCACTTGGAATCGCAAGAGGCTTACTATACTTGCACAAAGAGTGTGAAAACCAGATCATACATTGTGACATCAAACCACAAAATGTGTTACTTGATGCCAATCACATAGCAAAGATTTCAGATTTTGGACTCTCAAAGCTGTTGAATAAGGATCAAACTAAAACAAGCACAAACTTCAGAGGGACAATAGGGTATATAGCACCTGAATGGCTAAGGAGTGCACCAATAACTTCCAAAGTTGACATATTCAGCTTTGGGGTTATGTTACTAGAGGTTACTTGCTGCAGAAGGCGCATCGAGACGAGTCATGATGATGAGAAAGGAAGTGAAGATGAAGATTTAGTTCTTTCAAATTGGGTATTAAGGTGTATGGTGAGTAGGAATTTAGAGCTATTGGTAGAGCATGACTCTGAAGCACTCAATGATTTGAAGAGCTTTGAAGAAATGGTATTGGTTGGGTTGTGGTGTGTTCATCCAGAGATCAAGCTCTTAGACCTTCAATGAAGCATGTCATGCAAATGCTGGAGGGAACTGTTGAAGTTGGGATTCCACCTTTGCTTTATAGTCAGATGATAGAATATCAGAGCTTATAGTTTGCCAAAGATGAGTTGTACATAATTACTCCCTCTCCTATTTATATGTCCCATTAAAAGACCATGTCCCACTCCCTTATAAAAAATAATAGTTACGTTCAATTGGGAATGCTTAAGCAAATCAAGTTTAGTGTTTTTTTCTCCATACTGCCTGAGCCTGAGTATCTAATAGGACCACAAATGCAATAAAATCCTCTCTACCAAATAATATAATTAGATGATTTAGTAAACTAGAACAAGCTAATGAAAGCTGATTTACACATTTGGTAGATATTCCAATATATGTTTTTGACAGAAATAGTCATAAAAAGGAACACTAGAAAGATAGGTAAAAGAGTTTGCACAGAAACGTGATGATAAGTACATGATGAATATATAAGAAAGGCAAGTAAGCATGAGTGAGATGAGGTCAGACATCATAGGGTTGCTTGCCAGTGAACTTGACCTCAATTGGGCTCACATTCTTCCCTATAGACCTAAAGTTCTGACCAACCCCTTGGCGACCAGGGTTGACCTTCTCAGGGTAGACACCATCCTTAGGATGCAAATATTGGACTTCGCCATTAGGGAAGACCCTATAGAACTGGTACTTGATCTTATACTTAGACCTTAACCTAGTCCCTAGAGCTAAACATTGTTCTTTCCTAGCAAGTTTGAGAAGGTTTGGGCCTTCCCTCATGATGGCTGCACCACCAGTGGGCATCTCAAAGATCTGTTCTTTTGGTGATTCCCATGTGATCACATAGAATTCTTCCACTTGGGCCTTCCTCAATAACCCTCCAGTGCTGCCTCCAAATATGGGGCTTGGAGTGTTTGGATCCAATTCAGGTGGGGTGAATCCCACTGGTGCCTCATCCTTTTGTTCAAAAACATAGTACACAAGAGAAAACAAAACTAAAATGTGAGATTGATTCAACTATTAAAATTCAAAGTATACTTATATCTGTAATAATTACCTTTGCTTGTGGTGCTTCAATTTTGCCATCAGCAGTAGCTGCTGCTCTTACTGTTGATCTTGTTGTGAAGGTGAGGAGGGGCTTGGGGCTGGTGAAGGACAAGGTGGATGGCTGTTGCTGTCTCCATGGCACATAGGTTTTGGAGGTTCCAGAGAGAGGTGGGGTAAAGAGAGAAGCTTGGGTTGCCATGGCCATGATGATGTTGGAGAATAGTTTGAGATATATCACTAATAATAATGTATGGGTAAGTGACAAGTTTGTATCAGATTTTGGATCAGATGATATTTTATTTGGACCAATTAGAACGCAACATTTTGATTCCTTATCTCATCAAAACCATACTAAACTCTTATTCGTTTTGCATGCGATAATTCCACGTCATTTTTAACAGTTAAATTTAATTAATATGTTATGAAACAAGATTTAGGACAACAAATATTTATTCAATACACTCTCTCTAATTTAACTCTTCACATTGCTCTCTTCTATTAATGCCACCATGTAATTCTACTGTCTCCGCTCCTACCACTACTCATTCTAAACATTTCATTCTTTTCATATCATACTCTCTTTTTTGGTTCCTACTTTGCTCCTCATTCTTTCATATTCATATCACTTTTTATGCTACTTCTTTTGGTTTTATTGTTGTTTAGGTAGGTCGCAAGAATGATACGAAATAATATTTATTGGTTAAGTTATAATCATATTATTTTCTTTAAGATGTTTCGTGTTATTATCAAATTGTGCAAGTAGACTATTAATCACATTGTCCCCAGAATAAAACAGTTTAGTTCTTGGCTTAGATGAAGGAGTTTTGTTTGTGTTAATCTTCATTCACTCACAACTCATTGTACCCCTTGGGGTACATCGCAATGAATGAACTTTCCGCTTATAAAGTCTTTCAACTTTCATCTTTCAAACAATATGGGATTAATAAATTTTTTCATTTCACAACTCCAAAAATCACCATTAATAATCACATTAATGTGTATTAAAACCACTTCAAAATTATTATTTTCCAACATTTATGCTACATGTCATAATTCCATACCCCTTTTTAGTGTGACAAGCCGCATGTTTTTTATTCTTATGTTTTGAATTTTGCAGAACGCCAATGACAACTTTGTAATGTTTCCAGACGATCAGTAATTTAGGTTGACATCATGGGCTTATGTTTTAGATTACATGTCATAATTTCATGCCATTATAGTCTCCTTTGTTAATAATAATTCTTAAGATATTGTATACTGACTAATTTGTAGATAATAAATTGCTTTTTTATGATATACGTAAATTTATTAACCAATTAATTTTACAGAAGAATATACTATTATTAAAATAATGTAATTGATATAACCAAACTTTAGTGAGTGACTAGAGATATTTTATATTACTATTTCTCTATCCTTTATACCAAACCAATAAAATTATGTCAATTAATATTGTTATTGCTTTTTAAAAAATGATAAATAAAATAACATATAAATTTTATTTATATGTCAAGATTCTGTTGGTTTGATATAGAGAAATAGAGAAATAATGGTATAAAAGATTCACTCATGGTAAGGAGGGAGCAGGGGTACAATTTCTTGCCCACAAAAGAGGATGTGGTGTTCATAAGTTATTGATCAGATTATTATTCAAATATACATCTAAATTTGTGACAAATACTTATACGTGTTCGGCCCAGAAACAATAACATGACACTAGACTCGATTCTATTTAAATCTAATCATGATCAGACCAAACTATATGAGCGAATAAAATCAGATCATGCTCACTCATACATTGACAAGTTTAAGTGAATTATTGGGTACAATTTTACACAACCAATAAAAAAATATTGGTTATGAAAATAATATATACAAAAATAATAATCTCATAACTTAATTTGACCGGTTACATTAAATCACGTATATATAGAAAAATAGATAAATATTTTATTGTATAAAAACATTTTACTAACCATTATTCAGAATAAATTAAATAAACTTAATATTAAAATTGATTAGTTATTTAATTCATTAAATTTGATTAATAAACCAAATAACTTCAATTTGAGTTAAAATTGATTTCATTAAATAAATGAGATAAAGATAATTTGATAGCACCTCAATAATATATATATATATATAAACGTATATATTAAATTACAATATAAACATTTTTATAGTAATCTATGAGTTTAATATAATTAAAATTTTGAAGCAAATCGACTTAAAAATACTATTTCTCTGTTATTATATATTTGTCAACAATCGTCATTGTAGCGTATGTTGGAGTTTGTTAATTTGTTGATAAACTTCCTTTGAACCGAAAAAAATAGACATTAAGGTTGCAATGTGGAGTGAATAATTTTGACGTTAGTCAACCATTTATAAATACATAAAAAATAGGTTAGGAAATGTTTTAAAAAGATGGAAAAAGAAATCTAAAATAATAAAAAACATAAATGGTAGAGAGCGAGTGCAACGAACTAAACCTCTATGTCCGATCTCCACGCTAAGCTCTTCAGAAAAAAGGCTTATTTCTCAAATACTCATCTCTTTTTGTCCAATTCCCAACTTCATAAGACTAAAGATTTGATTTTTATTATGTGACTAATAATGGGCTCTGTCAAAATAACAGCTTCTTCTTCTCCACACACCCACATGTCGATCTCAGGCAATGTCTTTTCATTTCACTTCCATTTTTCTACCATCTTTTTATCCTCACTAATCACCCTTATTATATAATCTTATGCTTACAATTATCCATCATGTTTTTATTCCCATTGTTCAAATCTTTGTTATTATGTTTATTTTTTTACTCACTACCTTTCATACCATCTTACATTTTTGTTAGTTTTAGTTATTCTCTGTTGTCGTAGATTTTTTTTATGCTGGGAATTTGATTTCAAACCATCCTCGTAGGTTTTTAGATCTATGAGTTTTTTAGTTATTTCCTCATAGTTTGGATGTAGAGTATGAAATGTTTTGACAAATTGATTGGTGATGATGTATGGTGGAAGAGTGTTTTTATTGTTGTGTTTTTTAACAGTTAATGGAAGCCATAAAGATTTTAGTGTCTCTCTAATAAATATGGATGGGGGCTAGGAAAGAGTTTTTAAGTGACTGCTGGGAAGTAAAGTGATAATGATTCATGAGTTTTAATGTGAGACTGTGATGGAATTTGCCATGGATGGGAGATGATGTGTGAATCATTTCTCTTCTGAAACGGTGGCGTGGCCAATGAAGAGGGATCGTTCTTTGTAAATTGAGTTGACCTACTTACTGTTCTAGACAAGTACGGAATTCGAGAAACCATGTATGAGAAGGCCACCTTTTCATTTTCTTGGGGGTGAAGATTAGACAATGAGTTTTCATATGGAATTTAGGCAGGCATATAGTGTAAACCACTTAATCTGTGATTTGTGTGCTGGGTGTTTTAAGGATTATATTTATATTCCCGTCGAGGAGTTTTTGGGGCCATATATTTGTCATAGTAGTTTCCTTTTCAGTGGGTTTCCTTACTTGGGGTTATATAAATTGTTATTTTGTGTCATCATTAAAAAGTTGGAGCCTGGGTAGGTATTGGAATCATGCTACGTTAAGTTGGTGATGAAAGACAATTTGAATTCATCAATATGAAGCACATATATTGAAACAGATACACGACACGGACATAACCATACCATATTCTTAAAATTGTTGAACACGACATATATATGGATATAAAATTGAAAATTTAAGGGGAAAAAAATCATAATTCATAATATCTTAGTTGTTTCGTAGATGAAATAACTTTTAGAATGGATGCATGTCGTACAGGTTCCGGTGTCCAACATACAGCACGACCCTAGATGGTCTGTATGTCCTTTATAGAATAAACAAGTCATAGTAGCCTTTGTCATGAACATAGAGCAAAGGTTACTAGTCATGTGCTTGATTTCTTGTCCTTTACATTGATCCTGTTTTGTACAACTGACACGCCCTTGTGTATGAATTTACCAAAAACCAAAAACCAAAACATGGCTACATCATTAGATGTGATACAAAATGACATACATTGTACTCCAACTAATGATTAAGATTTATGGAATTATCACAATAGCAGTGTTTAAATCCTGAGCTTCTGTTATATCCAATATGCTGAATAGAAATTCTTTATTTTGCAGGACTTCGTGAGAAGCACGAACTGGAGCTAGAAAATCTGACACTAACAACATTACCGTTCAAAACCTTGAAACTCTTCACGTTAGCTGTTATTCAATACATTAAGAAAACAACATTATATCTTTTGTCCAAGGGTGGGTGGCTTATGTTTTTCAGTGTTGCAGTAGGTGCTCTTGGCATAATGCTGATGACCTTTGATGGCCCTCATGAAAAGGTATTCTTATGTTTACAGTCTGTAACTTATGCATGCTACTTCTGGTTAAAGATATATTCCATGGAAAGTAAGTTATTGCTGTATCTTTTTGGCTACTGTATTCTGTATGCAAATGCAATATATTACTACTCCTTTTGTAATGTTAAACTAGGTATCCACAGTCCCTTAAATATTCACTGATGGTAAGCAGAAGCTTATAAACAGACTAAGTGTTCCTATTTATATTGGATATTATTGTGTGAAGATGATGCTGGTTAGAATGGATTAATGGAATTGCATTGGGTTTTTGTGTGTGTTTGTGCATGCAGCTCGTGTGTCTAAAGAGCTAATCTGTTGATTAAACCCTATTTTTTTATGTAGTTCTTTATGTTAGATACTCCTTGCAGTCGATAAGTGCTTGTTCCTTTTGCAGCATCTTGAGGAGCTTCGTGAATATTTCCTCTTTGGACTGTGGTGGGTGGCCCTTGGGGTTGCATCTTCAATTGGTCTTGGTAAGTAAAATAGTCATGCACCAAGGTTACTTATCCCCTTACCCATATGATGCTTCCTGGTTATGCAATTGTTAGTTAGTAATACAGTTGGTCTTCTGGCAGGTTGTGATTTGTATTCAGAGATAAATATTTGCTTGCAATTTGTAGATTTTGAAAAAATATCCTCTAAATGATCATTTATAAGAAGCTAGCAAGTAATGGTGTCTTCACCCTTAATTTTATTTAAAGTACATCATGATCATAACTCCCTAAAAAATTTAAAGGTGGATACACCCTTACTTGCACACTGTAGAGGAATCTTTTCTATAGAACTTTTTCTTTAAAAGCTTCCCTTTGCTATTATTTTGATCAAACCTTGTAAACTATTCTTTTGTCACTTTGTGATTCAGGGTCTGGGTTGCACACATTTGTCCTATATTTGGGTCCCCATGTAGCACTATTTACAATAAAAGCAATGCAATGTGGCCGAGTTGATTTGAAAAGTGCTCTGTATGATACAATACAACTAAAAAGAAGCCCTTCTTGGCTTGACAAAGACTGTTCCCAGTTTGGGCCACCATTGTTCCAATCAGAATACGGTTCACGGGTTCCACTTAGCAGCATTTTGCCTCAAGTTCAGTTGGAGGCTGTTCTTTGGGGTTTGGGAACAGCTATAGGGGAGCTTCCTCCTTACTTTATCTCCAGGGCAGGTATATATATCATGTCATGTGTCATTCTCTTAATTTATTAAAGTGGTTGTTTTTTTAAACAAACAGTGAAGTGATTGTTAAGTAGATATAATCCCCACCTAGTGGGAAAAGGCTTTTGTTGTTTGTCTTGCTGTATCATTAAGTTGATAAAATATAACGATCTAATTTTAGTGATATAATAATCTATCCAGGAAACTCCAAAACTTTTGTTATTTTGTTAAATTCTTTATAGGTAAGAACGGAAGTTATTTGCATAAATGACAATGTCTCCTTTGAACTTTTGAACTCCAAAACTATTGAACTTTTGTTAATTTGAGGTTTGGTTATGCAAATAACTTAATGGAGGAATCAACTTAAAAAAGTTTGGCTGCGTTGGTGGTTGAAGAGGGGTGATATTATGAATGCATTCTAATGTTTGAACATTATTGCATGTGAGAGTAGTTATATTTGTGGCCATGTCTCCTTTTCTACATGATGATAACAAAAGCATTAATGCAGCACGCTTGTCTGGGCGCGAAGTGGAGGCAATGGAAGAGTTGGATAGTGACGATAAAGGAATAATGGCTGCTCAGCTGATTCAAATCAAGCGCTGGTTTCTTTCACACGCTCAATATCTGAATTTCCTTACCATTCTTGTGCTTGCTTCGGTTAGTACGGATGTGATGCTTCATTTCCAGCATGACCTTTTTTCTTCTTCA